TTATTGTTACTTCTGTGTTCGGGTTGATCAAGTGTAATTGGAATCGGTCTTTCTAATAAAAAGCAATTCGCCACTGAGAATCAAAAATATACATCGGAACTTTATTGTCAAACTCCACACTCTGCTTACGAAGTGTAGCTGGCTAAAAAGAAAATTTCGAGAAAGATAATGAGAAGTAATTTCACTATATTTATTGAAGAGTGACTCCTTTAACAGTGACTCATTCTCGAACTGTATATATTATTATTATTATTGTTTCCTTTAATTCCTACAGGAACATAGGGCTTCACTCGAACGTCTACATTGCGTTCGGTTCTCTGCTACAGTCTTCACCTGACTCCAAGTCTACCCACATATTTTCATCTCCTCTTCACATCACCTCCTCCAAGTCACCCACTCTCGCACTGACGACCAACTCGCCGCTTCCCTCTCAGGTTCCACTCGAACAATGGCTTGTCTAGTGATGTCACTTCTTAGTTTGTTTCCTCAGAGTATGTCCAGCCAATCCATCTCCATTTCTTCCTGCCTATTTGTTTCACAATCGGTTCCTGCTGAGTTGGTTCGCTCATTGTCAAAGATCTCTGTTGCTGATCTTTTCTGGTCGGCCATCTAGTCTTGAGTATTGAGCGAAGACAACTGTTCATGAAGGTGTGTAGTTTGTTTGAGATGCTCTTTATGACGCACTGGCCAAGTCTCTGATCCGTATGTTAAGTAGCACTGACTTCACATTGGAGTTGAAAATCCAGATCTTTTGATCTTTTTGATGCTGAGTGCTGTTGACCTCCACACAGACTTGAGAGTAGTGAAAGCTTGTCTTGCTTTTTCGATTCCTGCTTTGATATCCTCGTCAGTTCCATCCGCCTGTAGTTGAAACGATACTTCCCAGGTAGGTTAAAGAGGTTATATATATATATATATATATATATATATATATATATAAATTACGTGATCATCGAGTGGTGATAATCACATTCGCCTATAGTGAATGTAAAGTATAACAACCCAACGCTAACAACCAAATAAATGAGTTCACACAGACATTTAGATCTTTCCTCTCACAGTATACTTTCTAACCATCCTGATTTTTTCTTTTTTACTTAGAGTTAAGTTTGAAATTCGCATTTAGGATTAACTTAGAGTTGTGGTTCAGGAACTGCTACTAGACTTAGTGGTCATTTAGTGAAATCTTCACGTTACACTTTGTTACCGTGCTCTAGTTGGTCTCCTGTTTTTAAAGGGTTGATTCATGGAGACTTGATTGGTCTCAAGTTAGGTCACTGATTGATATCAGTTAGAGAAACTTTGAAAATAAAGCAGTACTGGTCGGATGTGAGGGAAAAAAATACTCGCCGTTGACATTGAATGCGCGAAATGGCAGAAGATAGAATTCATCCTATCCATAAGGGCAAATGATCAGCTAGCTGGCTTTGAACCCTGAAGATCTCGAGTTCGAATCTTAGTGGGGTCATGGGTGAGTCCCACTGAAGAGTCAAACACAGAAGCCCAAACACTGACGGAACAAACTGTCGATTACCCCCTCGTTTTTATTTATGATATTCGTTGGTCCTAAATAACTCTTCCAACTACTAATGTATTGTTATCGTGCATCTATGCCTATTGGTTATTTAAAGTTATTTGGCCGGTCTTTAGTAATATGATACTTTATGTTGACGGTATTTGAATCTTTTAAAAATGAACGCGAGGTTGATTACCATGACTGGGTGACATCGTACGGCTAACAGAGTTGAGTTAAGGAACAGATAAGTTAGAGTCTGAGGCAGAAAGATGACGTAATACAACAGTAATAGAATTAAATAAATAATTTTCAGAGGTGAAATGTAAAAGAGCTGTTTAATGTCTATGTCCACTGAAAACCTAATGATTCAGTAAATCCCTTTTGTATACACAGATCAAGGTGTTAAATATTAATTGCCACAGTTTCTGAAGTTTGACGAAGTTATATCCACACCATCTTTCAGAGAATTCCTACATATCTAGCAGATAATGCTTAAATTAGTTTGTTAACAGAATCAAGTAGATGTTCTAAGACATAATTATTATCTAGTGACGACTAATGAATTAATTTCAAATGTTGTGAGTATTAATCACACATGCAGTCTCTTAAGACATAGCCATTGGGAAAAATACTTGAAATTTTCCTACCTAATCAATGTAATACATATATACTTGAGGAATGTGTTTCGAAAGAAAAAGGTTCCTCTTTGCTGACTGTCTTTTGTTTTGAACAAAATATTTTTGAGCGAACAACTTTTTTTCAGTAAATTCTTCGTCAGGCTCTACAATTATAACTATTAGAATTATGTGAGAAAGTGTGTTGTGGAACAGATATAATATGGGATGAAATAACACTCAGTTAGTTATTTATTATCAATTAAAAATATATATGATCAATAAAGACATGAGGTGGAATGATATGAAATAATTCAATTATTCTAAGATGGTCATTTCCTTGGGTTCCGAGTGGAACATAAGGCTTCAACAATACATCTCCACTTTGTTCTATCTCCTGCCATCCTCTTCAGCTGGGTTCACGATCGCCCAATATCTCTCATCTTCTCCCCGCCACATGATCTCTTATATGTCATCCTTGCACCAACGACCAACTTGTTGCTTCTCATTCGGGTTCCACTCGAGGGCCTGGCACGTGATGACATTCGATGACCGATCCATCTCCATTTTCTCCTACATATTTGTTGAGCAATCGGCTCTTGGTTGGTTTGCTGCCAGAGCTTCTTGTTACTAATTCAGTGATGTTCATATATATATATATATATATATATATATTGTCAACAAAAGTGCAGGCTTCGAGGGTGATTGTAATCAGTAGTGTGTGACAGAATATGAATATTACACAAAAATAAAGCAACGAATGGGATAAACTTGACTTAAGCTCAAGGTTGACAAATAACCGTTATTATGATGGTGAAATAATAACGATGATGTGGTATAAACTTGAAAGCACTATTGGTGAACGGTTATCAAATTATAATGAACTTAGTGAAGTGGAATGAACAAGATTGTGTAAATATGATAACAAGATAGAATAGCATTACGTAAACCTAAGGTAATAGAAATGATTAGAAATGTTATGAGGCCGTAAAAGGTTCGAAATGAACGTCTGTCACTGAAACAAAGGAAAAAAAGAAGGAAAAGCAAATGCGATATGAATTTTAAGTGCTAATGTTCATGGAGGATTTGTTGGCTCTATTGTAGGCCAAGGTAAACAAAGCGGTTGAATCTACTTCTTCTGTATACAAAGACCCGGTCTCCTGGCATTGGTTGCTACCACTTCAGTTACTGATAGAAGGCTTAGTCGAACTCCTCTAGATAGATTACCAGGATTACGGTAGGTAATCGACAATGACTGCCTTCGTTTTATTGAGTGTCCATTATCTACCAAATGAACTAAGACTGTACTACTTATGCTTTTGGTTACCCCCTTTAATCGATCATAAAGGCAAACGTACCATAATTGTAGAACCCGAAGAACTTATTGAAAACAACTGTTCGTGCTAATTGTTTTTGTCTTTCCTTTTGTTAAATTTACAATGATATGAAAACTTCGCCACAATAGATCTAACAGTGATAACAATAATTATGTCAAGTATTGAAATAATACAAAAGATTTGTAGCTCAGGTAGATGATTTGCAATTAATAATGTTCTCTGAACTGGTTGGTTTAGTTGCGGAGACGCAGTTATTTCACTCATGAAGAAATTTAAATCATTTCACTTTATGCTAAATATTGCGCTGAAGATGTTGTCCAGAAGGACGACGAAAGCTCCGCAACTAAACCGATCAGCTCAGAAAACACTATTAATTGCATATGTCAACTACTTTTACTAGTAAACTGACTAAGTCAGTATGAGAGAGGTAATTTTCGAATCTTCGAAATGAACATAAAGAAGAAAGAGGTAATAAAGACGGCCAATCAACAACAACAACAAGCACCAATCACAGTCGACGATAGAAATCTGAAGGAAGTCGCCTTTTTCACTCATCTAGACAGCGTCGTTTCAAGTACAGGTGGTAGAGATGAGCATATCAAAGCAGAACAGGATAGGAAGAGCAGGCGTAACCTTCATTATTCACAAATAAGTCCTCTAATCTACTGTACTAAGCATAAAGAACAAGATTCAGATTTTCAGCACAAAAATCAAGTAGTACATACGGTCCAGAGACTTGTGACTCGTATCACAAAAGGCATTTTCCACAGTCTACTGCAGACATTCATCAACAGCTGCCTTCACTGGCTCCTAACTGAAAATCGGGTGGCAGGCCAAAGAGAATTAGCAGCAAGTAACTGTGTCAACAAATCAACCAACAACCTATCACCGAAAGCATATTCAGAAGAACATAGAGATAGATTGTTCATACTCTGAGGAGACCGTTGAGTGACGTCACGCGTCAGACTGGGTCCGCTGGGGACATGGAGGAGATCATTTGAGGAGGAAATAAAAGCTTCCGGGCAGTCCTTCAACCATCTAAAAAACAACCGCTGAAGCCCTATGTCCCATTCGGAACTCAAAAAGTAGAAGCATTATGTTTTTTTCCTTCACATTCCCCAGTGGAATGGCTTGAAGTTTCTGTAGCAGTGTTTTAATTTTTACAGGATGGGGTTGCTAGCCTCATGCCCAACCTTTCGTCTTCACCAGCATTATTTCTGGCTCAGTGAGGTAAAGGGGTGCGTCGGCCGGGGATCGAACCCCGGCGAGCGTCCTAACCGCTATACCACCGACGCACGCAGCATTATGTAATGACAAATTTTTAAATGCATCTGTTTGTGTACATGTACGCAGGTGTATTACGTCATGTACTTCATAAAATCCCTTTCATATCTATGAAGTAACTTCAACATTTATTCATACATAGCAAGTACCATGTACAAATAGATATGTAAACAAGTTACATAACTAGTTTGCTTCAGTTTTATCAAACGATTTCCTCCGCAAGTAGCAGATCTATACGAGTGTTTTTATTCAGTATGATGACAGTATTGGTGTCTGATTATTGAAGTCACGTTCACAGTTATCATTATCATCATCATCGTCATCTTCTTGTGATGAACTGGATATGGTCACCTCATAAATTGAGAAATTATTCATCGGTGACATGGACAAATCACTTCTTGGATAACTCCGAGAGAAATAATTGTCATTGTGGAATTCTAATCTATGTTCTTCTTGTTTATACTGACTGTATGGAGGACGGTATAACTGTGAGTAGCATTCTTGACCGTTTGCTTTGGATTCTTCATGCGGTGTCAGACACTTCTGATTGTCTGCTTCACTATTAGTGGTAACCTGTCGACTAATACTACCACTGCAATATTTACAAGGATTACATTGATGCTTACATCGACGATGATGGTTACCATGACAGTTTTGACGATGTCGGCGACAGTATGACTGTGTAGAATTCCCCTGACTATCACATATATTCTGGTTACTACTAGTTACTGTTGTCACACCTGTCACTGTCATTGTCGCAGCTTCTGCAGTTGTATGACTTGTACTTCCTGAAGTAAAAAACACCTGGTTGTTATGACTACCACTGAAAGTACTTCCATTATTATAATCAATAATAATATTGTTCGTTTTCAGTAAATCTAGTCTTGATTCAACATCTTTCAAGGTGTTCAATGATTTATCCACTTGTTTTGACGCTATATTTGTTGATGATTGTGTTAATAATAAAGTTGAACAGATTGTTTCACTGACTGCTTTACGACTACTCTTGATATGCCTTACTTCAAGTGGTGTATATTTAGTATTTTCGACAACATCTGCGACAGATGTAGCTTGAGGATTATTTGCTCTGTCTTTACTATTATTACTACTACATTTATGAGCGTTTCGCTTATGTTTACACTTGCAGGAAGATGTAATAGACGATGAGACTGTCTTTTGTGAGTTAGTTGATGAATTCTGTGACAGATCTGAGTATATTTGGTTTTCAGGGTTACTACTAATATGCTTGTCTCGTGGAATGTGATGCTGTCGGCAGTTGTGATGATGCTTGTGTTGACGGTGCTTATGATTGTTACCATGGGAATGTGAGAAATTCAGATGACAGGAGTGTTCACAACGATAAAGATGACCACATTGGCGGTGTTTCCTACGTTCATGGTGGTGATGATGGCGATGATGGGGATTTTGGGCATGATCGCCACTGAAGTCACAGTAATATTTCTGCTCTGATCGCTGACCTAATTCATGATACTGTTGTTTACCGGAAATTTGAACACTGCCGCCCTCATCATTATCATTTTGTTGATAAGGATGGAAAGTTTGCACAAAATTCTCACTTAAACAAGCCAATTCTTCATTTTGACTTTTCATCAATGGAGAACTACTACTACTAGTACTTCCGCTACTACTTCTACCTCCTAAACATACTATTGATTCGTTACTTTTATTCAAGTTTGAATCAATATTATTAATCAATAAGTTGACTGTATACTTATCAGTTGGTACTATCTTTTTACATTCATCACCCATACCCGATACAGAATATGGTTTCATGTCTTTACATGAATGGTAATCAGTATCTTCATTCGAGGCATGTTTATCAAAATGTATCCGATTAGTCAACTCTGCTGGTTCCATATCACCTGAACAATAATTCTTTGGCTGTAAAACTCTTTCATCATTATAATGCTGCATTAATGTATCACCACTATTCCAAACTGTTGTTCGATGATGATCCCGACTGAACATATTTTCTGTCTGATCATGCATGATTTTCGACTGTTCTTTGACATAATCAACGACTGGTTTGATAATATTTTGTTTTTGTCCATCAATAATTGTTATTTTAGCTTTTTTCTCATTAGACTTGTCTACATCGGCAGTATTTTTCACTTCAACACTACCGCCAATACTGTCTGTTTTAAACAACTGTTCAATATTCCAATTGTTTGATAACAAATCAATATAATCTTGTTGTAAATTATCAATGCTATCACGTGCTTCAATGAATTCATTCTCTTCAATACCTTCACTAATAAACCAATGCAGAAAACATTTACGTTGATATAATTTATTAAAATTTGCTTGATTTCTTTGAAATATTTCATATATACCAAGATTACTAGCTAACATACACACGGATTTGGAGTGGGATGATGTGGATAATGAATCACAGCTTACTGTTGTCGCTGCCTTTATCGGTAGATAATTATTAATACCAATTTTAAAGTTTTTTGGGCACCAGTCAACAAATTGGATATTTTTATCATGTTGGTTTTTTGTTCGAATTAATTTAATTGTATCATAAATTGGTTTTGAATTGCTTATCCCGCGATACAACATGGCACATGATATAAATGGATAATTAAAACAAGAATAGTCAATAGTCTTAGAGTTTGATTGAAACAGTGATTTAGTTAATTCGTATATATCAAAGTCTTTTTGATAATAATAGCAAGTTGATTGTGATGTATAAAAGAGTGATGGATAGTGTATTCTTGGATAAGGTATTAAATTTGTCAGTAATTCAGTAACATCTGTGCGTAGTACACCATAATAAATGAATCTATGCGACAGAAATACTGAACTAATCATTTGAGCTAATAATTGATTAATTTCTGTAAAGCGCGGTTTTATTATTTTATTTAAATTTTCTGTACATCTTTCATATAAGGTATAATTATCTAATAAAACACTACAATCCAACGTGTCCGTCGTGGAATGTGTATACAGCAGGGAATTGTACGGATCCACAGTGGACTGTGAATATAGTGAAGACGGAAATATTGCTGTATTGAATTTGAATATTTTAGAATATTCATCCTGGATATGATCTAGAATGAGACTGGTCATCCCAGATCCTGTACCACCGGAATGTGAATTGATCATACCGAAAGCTAGTAGGCTATCTGTCTGTTCAAGTAACTTTCTAATCGCTTCACTGGTATCATTCAGTTTATGCAGTCCGACTGTACGATTCCCACGACCGTAATTATTCGCCGCATCTTCTTTACCACTGATTAGACAATCGGATCTCCAAAGTTGTCGATAAACTCCACAGCGTATTTCATCTAGTTAATAAATGTATACGTTTATTTTTAATATTAATAAATACTAAACATTTTTCATTATTCCAAGTTTTGATTAAAATTTTAAAAATAGAAGCTTTCTAGCTGTTAAATTACAAACTGCTGATTTGATATGACCGGTAATACGACCCAGTAGACTCCAGAATATACGAATGTAATGCGCTAATGAAAACTATTGTCGCTGCAGATTACAGCGTCGACCAACGGGGAAAGGCAAACTGTTGATAATGGAGCATTCACTGTCTCAAACAACAGACGAGAACAGCTAACATAGATTTTGACTATTGATTTAGGCTTTAAATAATCTCGAAAAACATTAAATTGATGTTGAATAATCCTCATTGAAGCATTAATGAAAAATGAAGCAAGCAGTTCAGCAAAGAGGCTTTCTTCATCTGCATAATGTGGTGCAGTAATTGAACACTTTGCTGACAGTGACCACACAATCTTAACAATCTTCTTATTTAGAGTATTCTACAAAATTAGAGCGATCTGTTAAAGGTAATGGTTAATGGGCATTTGTAATCGGTTAAAGGTAATATGCTTTTTCATCATTTGTTATGCTGAAGCTCTAGCCATCAAGATAGAAAAACCAGAGCTCTGTACGCAAAACAGAATTATTTTTCCACAAAAGGAAACTTATTGAGACGTTCAAAGTGAATACAGGAGTAAGACAAGGCTGGATTTCAATTATCACCGATGATATTCTTAATTGTGGTGGAATGAATTATGTGGAAGACTGTGGGGAGCAAGGAGACAGAAATACGCTGGACCACTGATAAGAAGACTCCAGAAGATCTGGATTTCACGTGTGGATGATTCATGATTGATGTCACATAAAGTCGAATACATGCAGGCGAGAACCAACGAACTGGCTGAAGAGGCTGACAACGAAAACAGGACCGCAGAAGAAAACAGAGAAGACGGTGGTGATGAAGATAATCGACGAACTGCATCAACACCAAGCAGCACAATTCACCGTCAACGGGAGAGATTTAACAGAGATTACCTCCTTCACTTATCTAAGAAGCTTCGTTCCGACTACGGGCGAAATGGATGAAGATGTCACAGGCAGTCAGAATCGGAAAGGTAAGATACGCCTTCATCAACCTGAAACCATTTTGGAAATCTTCTTTACTCAGCCAGCATAAGGAATCAGATTCAGGTTTTCAACACCAATATGAGGTCGGTCCTTCTATACAGGTCAAAAACTTGGCCGGCATATCACGGAAAGGATTTCCAACAAGCAGACTTTTATCAACAGCTGCCCTCGCTGGCTCCATGCCACGTGCAACGCAGGTCATTGCCCGGGTGGAATCCAAACGGGAAACGACGAGTGGGTCGTCAGTGCGAGGGTGACATGGAGGAGATCGTGTGAGGGGGAGGAGATAACAGATTATGGTCAATCGTGGATGCAGATGAAGAGGATTTTAGAAAATAGAAGAAAGTGGAGATGCGTCGTTGAAGCCTTATCTTCCCCTTGGAAACCAAGGGAATAGTAATAATACTATCATGGTCTGATATGGTTCTTTGATGTAGGTGCGTTATCTGAGCTAGACGGTTTAACTGTGAAGCTTTCACTTTACTTGATATAAATATAAAACTTGGGCACTGTGGTAGAGTATAACTCCATTATGGATAAGATTTTATTTTGATAAATCACACATTGTACAGAAATACCAAATGATGACGTTTCGAGCACAAACTATTGCTCATAATCATATCATTTTACTTCTAAGCAGTATCAATTACACAAACTTCAATACGAAATGAGGTTATTTGGAATGTGCATGAATGACATATTTGTTTCTGCTGACAACCAGCTCAAAAGACACAACCACTTAAGCTACAAATCTTCTGTAATATATTAAAACCCTATTTTTCCAACCAATATGAATGTTATTTTGACTCCTTCTGAATCGCTGAAGTCTTTGTTTTATGCCTTCCCAACTGTTATGTTACATTCTGCCATGAAATTCACATGAGACAAGGAATCCTGGATCTTCTCCTTACAAGAAAACTGGATGATAGTATAGAGAGAAATTCGCATTGGAAAAGCATATGGACAGAATAATAAACACATTTTTATAGATTCACTCCTCTCCAGTATAAAATAAATTTAGGAAGGACTCTCAGCCACAGAGTTAGAGCTATATGCTCAGAAGATGTAACTGAAGATGAAAAAAGCATTGTATATGATACCTCCTTTGTTGAAAAAGCTGTACATAAATGCAGCTGTTGAGATAAAGGAAACGAATTCGTCAGTGAAATAGCTTCTTCGCTGAACACTTCTTCTTTCTAAGTTTGCCCACGGATTGATACCAGTTAGGGAACTATTGAAAATCAGAGATTCTAACGTCTCGTCTTAGTTTGGGTCACATCATCAGGACGCACCCACTGCGGGCCGGACCGAGAACCTTCCAGTTACATGGAAAGCTCGTAGACCATTCGACCACTAGGACCCGAGTAAATGGTCAGTTCATGAATTCTAACTTCTGAAAACTCGTGATTTTAGAGCTACCATCAGACTATGTCCTCACTCCCAACCGCGTGGACCCTACTGGTCACAACTTCTCACTAGAACTTCAGGTGACTTCGTCCTGTAGCCAAGTCACTAGGGACCATCACACTAATTTTCAAGAGTTGATTTTGTTTCAGGTTTGATCACGGACTGATATCAGTTAGAGTACGATTAATCTAGGGAGTACTGTACAGCTGTCTCGTCCGAGTTTGTAACTCATCGGCAGTACATAACCACTGAACTTCGGACCTCATGAATTGACGGCAGTCACAACTCATTAACCATTTGATTTCAACTTACCGGTTGACTGGCTAATGGGCTGTCCTCATAATGTGAAGGTCTTGGATTCAGTCACTGGTAGAGTCATAGGGATGCACTATTTTGAAAGTTGTGAACAGTTTTGTACAATTATCCACTCTATTGTAGGACGCAGTTTTTGTCACTGCACCAATGGTGCTGCATGAGTGGTCTTCAATGACTCTCAGTCTAAGCAGAGGTAATAGAATGAGTGAATAATGTAGTGAGGCTGCATCAGCTGATTGCAGACGATAGAATCTTAACACAAATACGAAAAGTTAGTTTAGTATTTGTCAACTTGAGTTATCTTTAGTGCATGTCTCAATTTGCAGTCGAAATTCGCTTACTGAAAGTAAAACATACCAAAAGATTGGTGTCTTTTTATGACCAAACGTAACTGCCACGTTAGGTGGTCAGTAATGATGAACCTAGGCGTAGATTGTTAAACAACGTCGGCAAGTCATTCGACAGTGGTTGTGAAACGGCCTATATTCAGATGGCTAGGCAACGTGTTATTCATACCTAGCAGCTTTCTTCCCCTACAAGCAATGTTAATTGATATAGGTTTGGGTTGGAAAAGAATTAGGGGTGATAAAGCTAAAACCTGGTATCACTACATGAAGTCTTTGACTGACGGTTTGGGTCACATAAGAAGTTATAGTCTTGCTGGCTGGGGTCCTCGAGACACTGTCGGTGATATGGCTTAAAATCATCCTCAATGGTACGAATGCATTCATACTTCATGGCCTCCCAGATCCACAAGATCTTTATGTTCGTTATCCACACTGACAGACACAGTAACCACGAACAGTGATCGATGGCAAAGGCCAAAGAGATGGAAAAGGCATCGGCGATAGGTAACACCAAACAACTACTTAGGTTTATTAGGGAAACAGGTTGTAAAATACAAATGATCAATGAAATAATCCCCAAGAAAAGCGGATCTTGAATTACCTCTTAGAATAGAAGGGAGGACACTTCAACGAGGGATTCAACTGGCCTTCAGCCACGCTCAGTCTACTCACTTCCCTGAATGATACATCAGTATCTGTCCTCTAACTGTCTCTAATCTTAAGCGAGGCGAAGCAGCAGGACCTGATGCAATTACACCTTGAACTACTGCACTTTTGTGCGAAGTCCCACATTGAAAATTCGTCTCAGTTCAAAAGTGAATACATTTCAACAATCACTACCAAAAAGAAAAGAACTTACCAATGACACTTGGTTCCAAGTCGATCATTAAAGCTCTTGGTGTGTAGGAATACTTTCCTTCATAGAATAAACATTCAATATTATCCAGTTGATTGAATTCATTTTTCAATTCATCACTGACAAGTTTACCACTAGCTGTTAAATTATGCTCATGACAAAATAATTCCCATAATGCAGAACCAATTTGTACACCAGCTTGACCAAAGTGTAATAATACTATTTCTCTACCCATTTATGATTGCTATTACTATTATTATTATTACTGTATTTACAAACGGGTATATCTAAACTGCGAATGTAATCCAACACTATCTATATACTAATATTACGACTACTGTATATCCACGCATAACTGATTGCTTCTCTCTTTTATTGATTTTTAAATTATTCAACGGATATTTAAATTATAGGTAGGTCACGTGAGTTTTGGAGATATTAAGCTTTATTATTATTATATTATTGTATCCTTTAATTCCTAGAGGAACATAGGGCTTCAAACGCGCGTCTCCATTGCGTTCGGTCCTCTGCTAAAGTCTTCACCTGGCTCCAAGTCTGTCCACACGTTTTCATCTCCTCTTCACATCACCTCCTCCAAGTCACCCTCACCCTTGCACTGACGACCAACTCGCCGCTTCCCTTTCGGGTTCCACTCGAGCACTGGCTTGTCTAGTGATGTCACTTGATGGTTTGTTCCCTCAGAGTATGGCCAGCCAATCCATCTCCATCTCTTCCTGACTATTTGTTTCACAATCGGTTCCTGCTGTGTTGGTTCGCTCCCGGAGATTCCTGTTGCTGATCTTTTCTGGCCATCTGATCTTGAGTATTTAGCGAAGACAACTGTTGATGAAGGTATGTAGTTTTTTTGAGATGCTTTTTATGATGCGCCAAGCTTTAAGGGTAGAAATATAAACACGTGTGATTCATGGAATAGACAAAGACTGTTTCCGATGATTTCAATAAGGCTGTTTTGTCCATCAAAACTATAATATACCAAAGCGAACAGTCAAATGTTAGTGGTTCAAATATGATTCAAAGGATTGGTGCGAGAGAGTGTGACATCTAAACTATTTGCAACAGACGCCATCGCTGAATACTGAAGATCAGATGGCTGATCGACTCCTAAAAGGATAAGCAAATAACAGGGATGTCCGCGGTAATGAACGAGTCAAGAATCTGTTGTCTGACAAATATGCAGAAGCAAATGGAGATGGATTGGATTTACACTGAAGACATTTTTAAATGACACCAAAAGATAGGCAGGCCTTCCAGTGGGACTTAAACGAGAAGCAAGCGAAGAGATGGGCGTAAAGCCTAGTAAACATGGAGAAGAAGATCATGTGAAGAGGAAACGAAAGCCAATCGATGGTCATGGAGGCAGCTAAAAGAGACTCTAGAGTACTGAGTGCGATGACGATGTGCTGGTAAAGCCCTATGTTCCACTTGGAGTAAACCAATAAAAATAGTATTAATAATAATAAATAATTCAATGGGCACTGCGTCAGTCATCAAAATCAGATATGAAATGGAAAGCTGCCCCGTTCTACTTCGGGACGTTTCCGAAGTAGGCACTAATAAGCCCATCGGAAACGCAAAACCAGAACCTTCAGGTTACACGAAAGCCACATCACCATTCACATGCTGGGGTGAAATCCAGTAGCTCATAATTTCTAAATTATGTCAGTTCGTGATACAACATTAACGCTAATCAATGCCATAGGTGGTCATCTCCCCTCACATCTCGACTAAGTGGATTCTAGCGGTCAAAGTCTTCTTTGGAACTTGACCCTGTAGCCAATCGCTAATAAGCACTGGAGTAATTTTCAAATGTTTTCATAGTAGATTTTTTCACAGAAGGTCCTGGATCATTAGTCTATATACCTGAAGTATTCAAGACTACGATGATTAGGCTTTCTAGAGTTCCTCATTTTTCAGTGGTTCGCTAAATGATGTCATTTAAAATCACTGTAAGATCGATTCAATTCCCATCCTTAAATCAAGTCAACCTGTCCCGGATCAGCCTAGCATTGTTGCAACACAATTATCCATGCCTAACGTGTCTATCCCACCTTGTTTAATGAACTGTGTATGTGTGTGTTTTTACTTCGATCCGTTTAGTCAGACAGTTGAACTCATGACCCAATCAGAGTATTTTTGTGAACTGTTATTTTGCTGCCCCATGTCTTACTTTGTATTATTCTGTTGAGTTTATCTTATTTATTGATTGGTTAAGTAGCCAATTAAATTCTATCTTTGTGCCTATGCTCTGTCTATCTCTTACTTGGGTTCATTCTTCTACTGACTGCTTACCTGAACGTTTGTCTCATCCGGCTAGTTCGTAATTTTGGCTTTAACGTTTTTTCCGCTCTGATAGCGGTGCCTTGCTTTCTCTTAAGCGTTAAGCTTTGTACTCTTGAAACCGTTAAGGTTTGTTGTATATATATTTATTGATTTGTTTATTAATAGTACCGTAGAAACAGTGACCGGCTTCTTGCTTGTTCTGGACCGGGATAGCCTTTATCTACGCGTGACTTAATTTCAAGCGATATTGCGCTTACAATCACTATTACCTTCATTCATTCCTTTTGAGTGAAACATAGCGCTTCATTGGTACATTTCCTTGACTGCTCCCACCTAAGCTTTTATCATTTGTGATGGAATTCACCCAGAAGTTCACAGTTGCCAAATCCTACAAGCGTTAATTAAAATACAGTGGAAATTTAAGGAAGTGGAATAATTCTAGATAAGACGTGCAACAGCTGAACATCCCGTCAATGTGCGGGACAGGTGTTGAATCATTCCTGTTGAATGTATTCGATAGATAAAACTTCAGTTATTAGTCTCTCCAACCATACTGCTATATTAGATTCAAGGGGTTTCACTTTATTCCATCCTATTGTATGAATGCGTAAGATACTTATAGCTGAGTTTTTTTCTAGACTTCTAATCCTATTAGGGCATACTAGTACGATTTTGTGACTCCCAGTTGATTTATATCTGAGCGAAATGATAAGCCTCGTTTAGGCAAATGCGCTTTCTTGAACGGGTACTCTCATGTTATTATTACTAGTGATAATTCGGGAATCCGGTAAATTATGAGCACCAAAAGATGGGCCACACAAAATCACATTGTATGTGCGACGGTTGGACTACTGCACAAACTGAAGCAGGTGGTTGTTTTAAGGGATCCTCTCCTTTCCCAGACTTTGACTTGAAGTCTGATCCACAAGAAAATGAAGCTGCATCAGGCGCTACGTTCCCATGCTCCCCGGTGGCTGAAACAGGTTCATACGCCATACGATCCGTTCAGATTGTGAATCCGAAGTTTGGAATCAGGATTTTCCAGCTCCCCTAGGTAGATCAGCATGTCCACTAGTCCCGTTGTAAGCTCCAGACTTCTGTGAGGATTCCCCCACCACAGCGTGTCGCCAGCGAACAGGACTGCTTATCCAGAAAAGACTATGAACATGTAGCCGCATGAGAGCGTTTTCAGTGGACGACCGAAGTCTAAACCACACCTACACTCGGCCGTACCACGTCGTTTATAGGGGGCGGCAGCCCGCATCTTTTCAGGATTAACAGCCCAAAGTAACACGTTTCACTAGTGGATCACAACTAGAATTACCTGCAATGCCCAGGGTGTAATAGTGCTTCCGTTGGGACTCGAACCCAAGGCCTATCGTTTCAAACACTAAATTCTTATTCTTCTTATTATTATTATCATAATTATTTATTAATGTATATTACTTCTTTACAACATGTATGTAGAAAAAAGAGGCTAAACCTTGTAGAAACCATAAAAGAAAATGCTCAATTCTCAAAAGATAACAGCAATTAATGAGGTACGAATTACAAAACAAGCCTGGTGAAAGTACACATACACACACACACGCATAGAGACAATTAGGAAAAGATGAACTCATTATCCAGCAGTTTTGGGCAATATATCCGACAGTGTTAAATAAGCTCAGGGAATAAATAAGCATTATTTCTTCACAAAGAGAACAAACAAGACAAGATAAGCAATAAAGGAAGGAACGGCAAAAAAAACTAACCGATTCGACGGTGGAAGAAGAAGAATAAGAAGGAAAAGTTGCCTATGATGTGAAGACAACAACAGTTGTGTGTGTGTGTGTGTAGTCTGATTAGTATAATTATCTCGATGTATTTTTAACAGTTCTTCTCAGAGGAGAGTGAATATGTAATTCATTTTACTCCAAAAGAGGCGAAGAGTATATTATCAACAGAATAGAAGGCTATGCAAGCAGTTATTGAAAAGTAGACAGAAAGAATATATATATATATGCATACTTATATTACTTACAAGCGGTAGATAAGTATAAACGTAAAATAGAACGGGAGAAAACGTGGTTAAGAGAGAATGTAAGCCAGTAAATAAGCAAATAGGATAAATAGATTGAGTAGTATACAGAATGCTACTGTTCTGAATCTTCTTGATTGCCTTCTGTTATAATACCATTTTAACAATTGAATAAAAGTTCATAATACTCTAAAAGAATAAAACATATATAAACTGTTCATTGAATAAATAAGCATATATCAGCGCAACACGAGGTAAATGTACACACACAGAAATAAAGGAAGCAGTTATAAAAGTGGCAATAAAGCAAAAGCAATCAATATTCATAGAAACAACAACAACAACAACAATGCTAAAAGAAGGAACAACCAATAGGATTCATTGATTGATATTTATATTAAAACTGAAGCATATTAATAAATGATTAGTAAAAACAGTTGAGAAATGCAGAGAAATTATTACAAGCTACTAACAAAACATTCAGTAGTATATAAATATATAATGTAAAAAAACTGACGTTTAAGCACAATATTTGGGGCGAAAAATAAAAAAAAACGAAAGAGGGGAAACCGGTTATTATTATTATTTCGAGCAGAAAAACACTTAAATGTTTCATTTTTCAACTAATGAAAATCATCAATTATCATGCCTAAGTCTTCGCGTATAATCCACATACCAGAGGCAGGAGTTTTCTCAGAAGATAAATTATTATCCTCATTGAGACATTTTCGATTATTTAATGTATCTGATTCAATAGTGCTATTCTTGTTGGATTCATTTTTCTCGTTAATAGGTTGAATAGGTTTATCAGTTGATTTTTGTTTATCAACGTCGTCTTTCACAGGTGCAACATTTGAATCATTATTGTTATTGGGAAGATTAGATAAGGAATGTGGAGTTGGTCGAACAGCTGATATTGGTTTCACAGGAACAGGCATTGCACTAGTTGTTGTATTTGCTGGATTGATTTTTCGACCTGTTTGAAAGGACAAGAAAAGGGACAATAACGATAGAGAAAAGAGAAAGAGATAGACAGACAGACAGACAGGATAATATAAACAAGGGTGGGAGGGTATGAGAACAAAACAGTAGAACTGAGGTGAAAACAAACAACAAAATAAAAACGAGGCGAAACACAAGACGAAATTGATCACCTTGAGAAGTAAATAGAGAGGACACTTATTCAAGTCAGTTAGCGTTTCTTGTTGACTGCATTTTAACTGAATTGAAATGCTCAGTCCCTGTTGACATTTCAGCTCTTCCTGGAAAGATGCTTCGTTGATGCGTGAAGGTTAACATGGTGTTGGTTGATTTTTGACAGAGGTTAACAGTGGGATCTAGAACGCGAGCCTCATCCTACTTTAAGACTCGTTAGGTGAATGTACCTGCATCTCCAGTGAGGGATGGTGCCACCCAATAAGGGTTGCAGTCAACATGGAGCTTCAAGATTTGGCTTTTAGGGGATATGACTTGTTTCCAGTTCGATCACCAGTACGGTCTAACATGTCAGGAGAGAGGAGAAATACTCACCGATGACATTGGCTGGTGGTCGCGCTAAAATCACGAATTGGTAGAAGTCCTAGTGGCTGAATGGTCTTAAGTTGGCCTTACAACCGAAGGGTCCTGGGTTCGAACCCCAGTGACGGGTGAGTATTGCTGAAAAGTCGCAAGCTAGGAAGACACAATTGTCCAGTACTTCTTTCTGGCTTTCAGTGGTTGTTCTCTAACTGATATCAATTCATGGTCAAACTTGAAGCAAATCTCTTTTCACCATAGACATTTTCTCTTCTATAACTGTCCGACATTATAACTTAAACAAACCGGAGAGTGGATGGCGTGAGGTGGCGAAAGCCGACTTTATTTACTTTGCACACACAAACACACACACGAGATATTTTGGTGTATAATATCAGAGGTTATTTTGAAATTTAATCCAAATTTCGAATTCTAAGGAGAGAGAAAAAAAACGATATCTCATAGCGAAAAACACATTACATGTTAAGTTAAACACAGATGTTTTGCTTAACTGAACTGATTACTAGACAGGAAGGGATGGGAGACAACAAGAGAATTATTGTGAAACTTGTTTAACACCTACACACATATTAAGCAGCATATGTTATATATTGTATAAGTAAGTATGTTAATATCTGGATATGGGCCACAAACATTAGGCATATATGGATCATATTTCTTAAAAGGTGTGAAATCTATAACCAATATATAAACCAATCGCTGACTGGCTGTCTGACTAGTGTCAACATCAAACTTTGCACAGATATGCATGCAGCAATTCGAGTTGCCACACTCCCTCCATGTAGTACACAAAGCAAGAGAAAAGAGTAAAGGGAGGATCAAAAGACAGATAATACACAGAAGTGTGAATGATAGAGAAAGAATAGTAATATGGAAGAAGAACAACAGAGTTTTATTAGATATGATAAATCACGAAGAGTGGATGCATCTGCGCCAGCCAGCGAGAACGATTTTGAACTACATCATCACCGATTGTCTACAGCCACTGGCTTTTACCGCCCCGATGACCTCAACCAGGAAGCCAGTCTACACCACCCTATGTGGCTTAAATTAACTGTTGTGGATTTCACTGACTAATTTCATGTTTCGGTTTGACCACCACTAGCACCTCTTTTCCAACCTGATTTTATGCCAGCTAAGAGTGCTCGTCGAGGAAGGCGATGGTTAGGCATGAGTAACACATATCGTAGACATCTCAATCGATGTATCTTCAAAACCACATAGATCGAACTTCCCTCCTTACCTAACACTCGACGCCACACCTCAATATCAATAACCCTATTATAACACCTAACATGGGAGATAGAATGCTGACATCTATGATTAAAGACAGCTAACCTTTTCATGTCTTCCACTTTTAATGGCTATGTCTCATAGCCATAGAGAAGGACGGAGCGAAATGCTGCGCAGTACACACGTCTTTTCATCGATAGCCGGATATGATGCAGGTCGGCAAATGCCACTAAAAGTAAGTGTCATAGTAACATGAAGGTGAGGATATAAAATTAACCGTTAGGTGTTTTCGTGCATAGTACAGAGCAAATACCATGCCAGGTATTCTATCATTGTAAAACAAATCGATATAAAATACCATTTGCACGTCGGTGGTTCAACAGTAGAATGTTCATCATGGTTGACCATACGACTAGCAACCCCCCCCCCTGGAAAAGTAACAACGCCTTAAGACCTGTGTTCTACTCGGGACGCAAAAGAACTAATACACATATATGTACAAACCACCTTTATAACATGAGCTGACATCATTTAGAGAACCATTGGAAAACCTACAGGGTGTACTGGAAAGGTGTTTCATCCTAGTTTGGGAATCTTCATCAGTACGCTCCCACAGACAAGGTTCGAACCCAGGACCTTCTGGTTACAAGGCGAGCTCGTAGACCATTAAGCCACTGGGACAATCCAATAGCCAGCCCAAGAATTCTAACTTCTGCCAAATCACGATATAGCGCGACCACTTCGCAATGTTTTCCATGAGTTACTGCCTCGCCTTCAACCTGCTGTACCCTACTGGTCACGGCTTCCTACTAGAACCCAGGAGGTCCTGGGTTCGGACCCCAGGGAGCGTACTGATGAAGAGTCCCAAACTAGAACGAAACAACTGTCCAGTACTCCCTGCAGGTTTTCCAATGGTTCTCTAACTGATTTCAGCTCATCCAACCAATCAAATAAAATCCCTACAAACCCATACTTGAAAACCTTTATAACAGCCAAACGTAACACCTAATATGACCACAGTATTCCACTAAGCATGTAAGATCAAAATCACATAGGATCAACTACTTCAAGAAATTGAAAACTGTAAGTGACCGCCTCTCTTCTATCCATTCCAGTAGGTGGAAACGAAAGGCAGGTAAATTTGTTTTGGAGGTAGCTTATGTAATCACTCGATAAGAAAATAAACTGCAAAAAACACAATTTTCTTAACATTCAAACAACCACAACAATATCGTTAGCCAGAATTCGGGTAGTTTCAAATGATTCGGCTCTTTGAGCTAAGTTGAACTGGGCACAGCGGTGATGACCTCCATCTTGAAAGAGTAAAACCACCATCAGGTGTTTAGATCAATTTGGCTAACCGGTTGATGTAAGTGGCAGTATTCAACTACTTATATCATTCAATCAGTAGCATAAACCATAATGTAGAAAAAAGAATTCAACAAGAAATGAAAACAATACAATAAGTAATTAGAAGTAATCATAGAAAGGAAGCGGTCTTCGAACCCCATTACACGCTTGTTCGCATTCATCTGTGAGTCAGTGTTCGGAAACTCGGACTAATCATGATATCCGGATGTGTGTGCTGCATAGTATTTGGCTTAGTCCTTCTTTAATAATAATAATAATAATAATAATAATAATTTACTTTATTCCAAAAACAGTACTTATAATACAGAATGGAATTCTCAGCATTTGTCACAATATTGCATCTGATTTACTCAAAGTGTATATAAAATTTAAAATTAAAACAAAAATTAATCGGAGGAATTTGTCCACATTAACGACATAGTTATTAGATATAATAATAATAAATACTAATAAAAGTGAGTTTGTTTCAAACGGTATTGTCGATTCAGTTTGGAAACTTTAGCATGTTATGGATAACTGGGTCTAATGTTCTGTTGATATGGTATAGTGAGGTGAAATACAAAGTTAGCAGTCATAATACAGCTTAAAATTATGTCCACACTTATGAAAAATAATACAAACAAAACGAAAATATTGAGAGGATTATAAATATAAGAAGTACAATAACAATAAAGTATGATGCTGTAAGGTTGAGGGAAATGGTCTATTTGGTGGTGCTAAGAAGGTTAGTTAGTTCATTTCTGACACTATCTTCATCACATAGAGTACGTGCTAAATATGATATAGTGGAATTTTTATACTTAGATGTACGTGCATAAAGTCTTCTGAAAAGACTTCTTGTTTTACCTGAGGAGACACAAGGTTGGAGCTGCTGGTAGAGTGGGTGCTCAGAGTCTGACAAAATTCCTCTAGCGAATCTGTTGCATGACATCAAATGCCTATCGGTGACAATGCCAACGATATGGCCCAATGGGATACCACTCGTCCTACTGACAGTGTTCAGAGTTCTACGAAGTATGACATAGTACTTTTTTAGCAATCCAGGAAAGAATAATGGTGAACAGTAAAGAAGAGTAGGTAAAATACACAAGTTGACAAACTGTAAGAGGAGTGGTTGGGTTATGCCTGATTGCCTCAACTTCTTAATGTAAAAGGTCAGACGAAATATTCTTTGAGAAATCGTTAAGACATGAGAAGACCAAGATAGGTCAGAAGAGAGAACTAATCCAAGATACTTAACTTCAGACTTGCTTTCTATATCAGTATCTTCGATTTTGCAAGGGTCATAGGAATCAACGGCTTCATTTAACTTTCGTTTACAACGGAAACTGAAATTAACAGTCTGACATTTGGAAGGATTAAGTTTAAGGCCGTTAGACGAAGACCATTTGCTAATTTCTGATAGAAAATTGTTAATCTTAATACAGTCAAGCTGAGAGTTAACAGACATTGAGATAGTTAGATCATCGGCATACTTAACAAAGTTCATTTCATCGGAGTGAGGCAAGTCATGCAAGAAGAAAGAAAACAGAAAAGGAGAAAGGACAGCGCCTTGAGGGACACCAGCCTCAGTAAGCAATGAAGTGGACGACTTTCCCTGACATACAGTGTATTGCTTTCTTTCTGAGAAATAAGAATGGAGCCATTTGACTACCCAACAGTCAGTTTCAGTTTCAGCAAGCTTGTTTAGTAAAATGTCCCTAGGTACTGAGTTGAAAGCAGATGTGTAATCTAGAAAGGTGCAGCGAACAAATTTAGCCCCCTTGTCTAAGCTGGAGACAATGTTATGATACAGGACTGCAGCTGCGTCCAAAGTACTTCTACTATGTTTGTAGGCGAATTGTTTGGGATCATTAAAGGCTTTAAGTGAAGGCTGAAGATTAAGTAAGAGCAACTTTTCCATAGCTTTTAGAAAAGGGGAAGTAATAGCAATGGGTCTGAATTTAAAACTTGTCGCAGTAGACGACTTAGGAATAGGTACAATTTTAATGTCCTTCCAAGCGGCTGGCACGACATTTTTAGAAAAAGAATCATTAAATATGTGCATGACAGGATAACACAGGATATCTGCACAATTTTTAAAAATAACACTAGGCAAACCATCTGGACCCAGGCTACAAGAAGGGTTCATAGACTGGAGACATTTTAGAACGTCATTTGTAGTAAATACAGGGAAGCAGGTTTCATTAATACTTGTAACATTAGAAAGTTTGGCATTCGTGGGAGAATGTATGAAGGACTTGTTTAGTTTGGAAACATCAAGGGGAAAAGGAAAACTGTTCATCTGCTTACCACCAGTAATTTCTTTGAAAAGTTTCCATATGTTAGACGCATTTTTACAGGACATGAACTTTTGGTTGTAAATTGAATTCAGTCTGTGCATTTCGGACTTTATTAGGATGTTAATTCTTTTCACACCACCATTATCCTTCATTTTATATAATTTTTCTTTCTGTCTGCGAAGCTTTTTAAGTTGAGGAGAGGAGAAACGGTCAAATCTGATGAAGAGCGTTTCTCTGGGACAACAGGTGTCAAGACAAAATTTGAGATAACTTGTAATATTAGAAATTGTGTCATCAAGAGAGTCTTCTTTAAACAGGTCCCACCTTGTATCTTTGAGCATGCTTCTGAGGTTCTCAACATTCCCCATAGACTAACATCCATGTACAGTTTTCTTGGAAAGGTGTGAAAAAGTTCTCTTGTGTAATTTTCCATAAATTTTAGGTAAAACCCGTACAATACAATGATCTGAGTTAAACAGTGGAGCTCTTTTACGAGCTTCGTATATTCCGGAGTCATTGATAAATACAAGATCAAGGGAATTATCCAGTCTGGTGGGAAAGTTAACAACATTTTCATGACCTATCACTGTGAGACGTGGTCATTGACAGTAGAAGACATGAAAAGACTAGCTATCTTTGATCAGAGGTGCCTGCGTTCTATCTCCTATGTTTGGTGGTATAATAGGGCGAGTAATATTTAGTTTAGGTGTCGAGTGTTAGGTAAGGAGGGAAAGTCAATCGACAAGGTTGTGAAGGAGAGTCGACTGAGATGGCTACGACATATGGGTTACGCGTCCCAAGCAATCATCAAAACGTGATATCAATCTATGAAATTTTCTGCTACTCATTTAAACTGCATAAGTAGGTGCAAACTGTCCGGTTTGGGTTGTTGAGATGCTAAGAACTACAGGGATTGAGACTTTGTTGATGATAAGGATGAAAACTGTTCGCAAAGCTTCAGACGTACTCACTCTTTCTCATTTCCTAAATCCAGTTTAATCCTTGTTATTCTCACAGTAAACATTCTTCTTCCCTTTATCGTATTGCCTAATTCCTTTGTGGTGAGAGCTGTCTACTAGCCAAATTGGTAGACAGTAATTGACGTCAATGTTTACGTTCTCAAGATTTGTCGTGAGAAAATATGAACAAAGACTGATTCAAAACCGACCACAGCAGACTTTGCGTAGGCGGATACAGTTAACATATAGATGATCTGACATTCAAGAAACAGTCACAAAGAGATGAAAGATTAACTTTAAGTGAGAAACAACCAATCAGAAGACTGTTTGTTTTCTTAACTAATCTATAATAATGTACATGAAAATATCACTTCACAATGTCTCATCTCATACATTTTCTAATAACGTCTTCACTTGCTCATTATATTCCACTAAACCTAACAATTTATAGCTCTTTATGAATTTGATTCGACTTATTTTATTCCTATTCTCTATAGGGTACGGTTGTGCAGTAAACACAAAAAGGTATGAAATTAAAACAACCGGCTTGTGGATAATTGTATTAAACTAAAAGTGGACAACATGATAGTAAAACCTATAGGGTAGCATTATACATTGCAAAGGAACTTTGTCAGCCTAGGGATTATAGTCTCCCATTGTATTTCCTTTATGAATGCATATATTAATGATACATTGCATTTACCTATTTCATTACACTTTAATGATTCACCTTAGCATCTTTACTTTTCTAAAACAGCTTACTATCCCTTGTAAACGTTGTACTTACCTCAATATTGGTTGGTTATCGTATGCCTACAACTACGGGTTGAAAACGAAATGAAGTCGATTTTCCTGCGCAACCTGGAGGACTACTGTTTAATTCAATAATGATACGACATGGGTCAGACAATGAGTGTATTTATATACACATCGAATATTTAGCTGTTGAAACATTATTAACTTGTAGACAATCTACCATTTGACATTATATCATACTTGATCGTGCCTGTAAAAATGGCATGCATTTTCATGTAAATTTATGTTTATATGAAAATATAAAATTATTATTATTATATAAATATGCTTTGATTTCCTTAATAAACGATCTGTTGCTTGGCCCTTGTCTTCTGTGGTTACACCTTTACCTTTATATGTGCTTTTATGGAGTATGGAAACTTGAACTACTGACGCACTTTAGTGCCAAGTTTTATGCTGAAAATTCAGTCAGTCAACCCAACTAGACAAATTTACAGAATGACAAAACTGGACAAAAACAACAAATTAAAAGAGTAATAAAAAAACCAACCTGTGAGTGATTTTCGTCCACCACGAATAGGCTTTGGAATATCTGACGTAGTGGTTGTTGTTGCTGTTGTCATAGTTGCGGCAATGGATGGTCCAGGTAATTCTGTTACCGATGGTATCCGACTAACCGACAACTTTGTGTCTCCACCTCCTCCTCCTCCTGCTACTCCAACAACAGTTGGTATAGAGTCATTCGATCCACGCAAGGAAGGTGTGCGTTTACCACTAGCTGAAGTCACTGCTGAAGTAATACGTCCAGTGGAAGGATTTGAACGGGATGTTCCACTTAATGAACGATTACTAGTAGTAGCAGTTGTTGTTGCTGTGCTTTTGGCGTAGATGCCATTCGATGTATTCTTCAAAATTAATTTACTATTGACATTAGCATGTGTATTTGTAGAAGAGGTAGTTGTCGTTGTCAGCGATGGTGTTATCGTTGTACTTTTAGAATGATAACGATGATTTGTTAATAATTTATCTTGTTTAACAAGTGCAGCGTAGACGGATTCAACAGACACTTGTTTTTGACTTTTTACTTTATTAGTATTACTATTATTATTATTATTATCATTAGAAGGATGATTTATAGACTTTAAATTTGATATTGAACTAGCAGCAGATACTGTCCGACTTGTAGCCAATGAACAATTTTGTACTGAGGGCGGCTCTGTCATAGCTGTACGTTGGTGTTGATATTGTTTTGGTTGGTTATATTGTTGTTGACTTTGTTGTTTTACACGTCTAGTGGAGGTCTTATTGCTAGTATTATTATTATTAATAGTAGTAGTAGCATTATTCGTTTGACTACTTGTCTTATATGTACTGGCCACTGAAGTTACAGGATGGATAACACTCTTCTTATACTTATACGTTGTATTTGTACCGCTAGTGGTGTTGATATTACTCACAGGTGTTATTGGCTGAAAAGAAAAAAAAAGAGATGTAAAGGAAATTATTGATCAAGTCTGATATAGTTTAAAACATAGTTATAATGGCTTTATTGTCAACAATATTTTAGATACAGTTTAGAATAGATCATAGCATACAGTAGTATTGTGGTGAGAGCTGTCTGCAAGTCAAAATTGTAGACAACAATTTACGTCAATGTTTACGTCCTAAATCGGGGTCATGAGAAAAAACAAGACCAAAGCCTAACCTTGAAGAACTCAACAACCAATCACAACAGACCTAGCGTGTGCAAATACGATTCGCAGATATATGGATAACCTTGTAAGCAACGGTCACAAGCAGTGCAGAATAACCTTCAACAAGAAAACAACCAATCAGAAGACGTTGCTTCTCTGCTAACAATAACGCTAATAATAATAATGTACATAAAAATCTATAAATATCTCCTGATTTTCTCAATAAACGATCTGTTGCTTGGCCGTTGTCTACTATCGTTACAGCATAAAATTGTATCTAATGTTCTCTTCAATGCTTTCAAGCACCAACCACCATGAACGGAAGAAATTTGAAAGAAGGAAGTCACTTCTTTTATTTACCTCATCGTTTCAACTACATTTAGGCAGCACAGATTAGGATGTCAAAATGGTAGGCAAATTGAAACCTTCAATACTCTGAAATCAATGTGGAAACCAACGGAACTCAGCATAAGGAACAAAATCTGATTCTTTATCCGTAATGTAAAGTCAGTCAGTGATTCTAAATGGTTCAGTAACTTGGTGCACGCATCGCCTAAAGCATTTCCAACAGGCGATTGCAGACCTCCATCGACAATTACCTTCTCTCTATGCTGAAGTTCAGATGGCTAGGAAGAATTAGAAACAGAAAAATCTGACAAAAACCAACAAACAACCTGTGGCTCAATATACATTTCCCAAGGAGATGGAGATGGATTGGGCACAAAGTGAAGAGATCGTCGCACGGCATCACGCAACGGGCACTCGAGTGGAACCCAAATGGAAAACGATGATTCTGGTGTGTGTGTGTGTGCCTGAGGATGAAATGGAGGAGATCGTGTGAGGAGGAAATGAAAGCTCATGGGTGATTGTTGAAACACCTAAGAAGGACTGGAGAGAATGGGTTGGGATGGGGATTAGCTGCGGAAGCCCTATATTCCACTCGGAACCCAAGAATAGAAAGAGTCCAATCGATTAATGTTCCGCAGTAAGCCAGTAATTCCCCAATTAACACTTTTTTCTTCACATAAAATGTTATGTTCAGTTTCAATAATTAGTCACGAGAGAACAAAGTCTTTTGTAATTGCTTCCATTGACTGACTTCCGAAGGTATCAACTAACACGCTTGACTTCAATGTCATAAGAAAAATATTCATTAAAGGTTCACTTCTGCTGCAACCTAGAAACACACTTCTTTTGATTGTATCATGTGAACCACGACAAGACATGTTAAATTCCGACAATGACAAACCACGGTTTTAAACGCATCTTAATCTACCCTGTACCAGAAATCGTCAAAGCATGGTGTTGGTGGGAAAGGTTGATTAGAAGTGTACTTTGACTGAGACTATGCGACACTAAAGTTACAGAAGTGTCTAGCAGATGTAGACGTGTCTCTTACTAGAAGGTATGTTAGGGGAAGAAATAGTACTCTGTATAATTTACAGGAAATCTGGTCAAGATGTCAAACAAATGGTTCCGGCGAAATTGGATGTTGAGAGTAGCAATTGAATTATTTGTTTTAATATCGCTGAGCAACAGTAAATGAAGTCTTTTACAGCTGGTTTGAGCCACGTAGGAGGGAGTAGACTGTTTGCTTGTTTTTTTAGGGGGGGGGGAGAACTCGAGATGATGTTAAGAACCAATGTCTTGAGACTATTGGTAATATGGCTTAAAATCGTTCTCAATGGCTGAGATGCATTCGCTCTTTCCGATAACCCAGATCCATTAAACCATCATGGTTTTTTATGTTACTGTTCTTTCTCCCTCACATTTCCACTCCTTATAGAGCTTTCGGATATGCCCCTTCTGTCTTTTTTCCACCTTTGTGTGGAACATGGAATTTAGCAGCTTGAACTGGTACACTTCTGTGAAAAGTTCTATGTTGAAACTTAATCAATATCGCTAAGGCTTCCAAAAATGTTTTCCAATTTTGTATCGATTTCGCTGTTACCAGTGTTTAGTTTATGCGTTGTTCTTGTATGTTCTACTGATCAATTCTAATCCGTTTTACCGCCCCCCCCCTCCCCCTGTAAATTTACGCCTTTCTGTTGACTCATGTGTTTTGCCCGTAATAATCCCAGACAACTGACGATTTGAGGTTTTTAATTTACTATTAACTCCTGTTACTAATTAACACGGTACTATATATTAGCTTGTGGTGAGAGCTGTCTACTAGCCAAATTGGTAGACAGTAATTGACGTCAATGTTTACGTTCTCAAGATTTGTCGTGAGAAAATATGAACAAAGACTGATTCAAAAACTGACCATAGCAGACTTTGCGTAGGCGGATACAGTTAACATATAGATGATCTGGCATTCAAGTAACAGTCACAAAGAGATGAAAGATTAACTTTAAGTGAGAAACAACCAATCAGAAGACTGTGTTTGTTTTCTTAACTAATCTATAATAATGTACATGAAAATATATAAATATGCTTTGATTTCCTTAATAAACGATCTGTTGCCTGACCCTTGTCTTCTGTTGTTACAAGCTGAATCTTCTGTTCCTCAATTATATTCCCCTTAACTGTTCAATTTATAGAGTTCAGAGATTAATTTATCGTTTTCTTGCATGATTCCCCAATGGTCTCTTCAGCTCAACTCTATGTTGTACAAAAAAATGTGGAGTGAAAAATTCACAAACCAAAAAGGAGGAGTTAAAATTCATGACTAACTGAATTCGAACCCAGAGGCTGAAGGGTGAAACATCCTCATCTCGTAAACTCAGTGTGTGTGTCTTGAGGGTTAGATATCCCTAGTAGGGTACCACTGTGTGCGTACCACTGAAGTGTCACAAATTAGGATGAAACAGCTGTCTTAAATACTCCTTACTTTTCGAAGACTCCTTCGTTAACAGCGCAGTTGCATTCTGTCCTGAGATTTTGAACCAGACAGTTCCATACAGAATCATCGAGTCTACAACAGACAAGTCAACCTATGAAATTTAACAACTCTGTGTTGTTTTCTCCATTCCGATTTTAAAAAAAAAGAGAGAATGCTTCAACAATCAAAACATCTAAATTGAAAGTGAGAATTTCAGTCAAATATATAAACATTAACACTGACGTTATCACATTTCTTATTGTATGTTTAAAGTATATGATTGATCGTATGACATTTCTCGTTTGTTTTGTTTTTTTAAATTTTTAAATGACATCCCATCATCATCTAAAGTAAAAAAAAAAGCGAAATCCCCTCACTTCACAGAACTTTTGTCATCATAGCTTGCCAGCCAACCAGACAGACAGACAAAGATACAGCGTCATATGCACATACATACATAAAGACAAGTCAGTCGATAAAGTTTGCAGTATTGTATTGTCACGACAATAACAATTTTTGTTTACAGCATTTGTAGAGAGCGTAAAAGGCATCAACTTCTTCTGTTTATCGGTTAACTGACACCAGCATTCATTATTATTTTCGATTATTTATATTTCAAAAAAAAATAATAATAGTGATAAGCAGAATAAAGAAATGAGTCATTGATGTTGGTAGGAATGAATAATGAATGATATTTATAAAAGCTTGAAAATTTAATCGATCAAGCTCTTTTCTTCTTAATGTGACTATGAGACATAGACATAGCCGTTGAAAGTGTAAGATATATGCAGAGGCTACACAGGTCTGATCACAAATAGTGTTTGAGCTTTATCGCCCGTGTTAAGCGATATGATTGATATTGGTCACTAATACAAAGGCTAGGCGCATAGAGTGTTATTTAGGTAAGAGGAGTGAAGGCTAATCGGTGAAGTTGTGAAGCTACACACGTCGATTGAAACGGCTACAACACGCATTACGCTTCCCTAGCCATTGTCTTGCTCGACAAACAATACTGGCCAACATTGGATTTGCTTAGAAGAGTTACGGATGGTGAAATCAAAACTTGGCATCAGTTCATGAAATTCTGTGAACAGTTGTTTTAAGTCACATAATAATGTGTAGACTGTCTGACTGGAGTCTTTCAGGCGCTAACAACCAGCTGCTAAAGGCACAGATGACTTTTCAGATCTATTGAACCCACAAGCTTTCCCAGCTGATTATTTTCTTCTCCCACTCATTTCAGCTCATTATACGACGTGTGGAGCGAACTGGTGCGCAGGACACACGTCCTTTTTGATCTACAGCTAGCTGCATATCACACGTCTACGCCAGAAATGATGAAAGTTGGAAAATTCCACACGAGCCTTTTGTATTTATTCCTCATATTTCCTCAGTAATTAGTCAATGTGTTGGGACTTATGCAACTTCTCAAATAAGTGAAGTGGTTAACATGCTCTGTCACTTCACTCTCTATCTTTAGGCTAGGAGCCGGTGTATTCCGGTCCCATAGCATTCATTATCTTACATCTGACAAGAGCAATTCGCATGCCATACATTCGACGATTGCTGTTTAAGGTTTTTAAGAAAACTCCGCATTTCACCTAGCAGGACTACATCATCTGTATATTCTAAACCACTCCGCAAGTCGCTGAAATCAGTTTAGGTCAATACCATTAGTACATCTGCGGCGAAATTAAAAAGAAATTGGAACATTGGGTATCCCTGACAGACACCACTAGTTGCCATAACTTTAGATGACAACTTCTCGTAAGCTCTTACACAGCTGAGTGAGTTTGAGTAGTGTCTTGATTAATGAGGTGTATTTTCTCGGCCAAACATATCCATAGTCCCTCTTGGTTAACAGAGTTGAATTCCGTCTTCAGGTTAAGAAATATGGCAATTGTTGGACGCTGGTTAGTATTTTAATTTACCTACCGATTTCATACTCCTC